CCGAGGCGCTCTGCGCCTTGGCGCATCCGCACGGAAGGCTCGTGTTGGTTTGCTGGGTGAGCTCACTGATGTCAGGGGTTGGAGCCAAGTCTTACTCCTTTTTTAGGGGAGTTTCCAGGGTTAAAAAACACAAATTTCTCAGTACTACTCATTTTGGGGGGATTTTCAGAAATGAAAGCCAATTTTTGTTTGAGGGGGTGGAGTGATTGCAGATCTTTGGGCGGGTGTATCTTAGTGGGAAGATCCGAAACTGGAGGAGAAAGACACGCCCATTTTGAGCCAACCCCAATGTAGGCGTCACGCAGAGAGGTCCCCCATCAAGGCCTGGAGTGAATCGCTCCTTATGAGTGGCCTCTTGAAATATAGAATTTATGATTTCACGAAGTCTTTGTCCGCTTTTCCCGGAGCGTTCACTTTGAATGCCAAAGTGGGAGGATAGGAGCCAGGATAAGATCCCTAATTTGATGCTCCAACATGGACACTTAAACCTCCTTACTTGAGGGGACCTTGTGGCTTTTAAAAGGTAGACACCGCCAATTTTGACATGTATTCACGACTAGCTTCTGAATTTCCTGAAGCGTGTCTTTCGGTACGTGTCCTCGGGCCATCTCGGGCCCCTTTTTCCAACAGGGGTCCCATATTTCCCTCAGCCGGTCAAAGCATCCGGCCGCCTTGTATGAGTTTCCTTTTGGGGGCTGCTGTTTAAGAGAGACACGAATGCGGGAGCGGGAGTGTCCATTTTTGTGGGAACCCCCCTCTTGGCTAGGTTTTGCAGCAGTGCCCTGCCTCCCCCCTTTTTGGGGGGAGGCTTCCCCTACTAAAATAGACAGCAGGAAAAAGGTTACCCTTATTCTAACCTCTCTACTGGAGGACCTAGTTGGTGACGCAAAAGGGAGCCCTGTCCAACCGCACCCGCCCCGACGCGCCAAGGCGAGTTCTTCGTGTCCCAGAAGGGTCAGCAGATTGAGTACATGGACCTGCGCCACAACAAGACGGGCCGCTTGCCCAGACCAAAAAGCGGACATGAACAAAGGGGCATGTGTCAAAATACGGTTTGACCCAAAAACGCGGTCCTTGTGGTTTCCTTCAGCCCGAGCCAATTTGAGGTACCCTCAAAGGACACACCCGTAGCGTTTGGGCCTGGTTTTTTTTCTTCGTGAAGCACAAGGGCTGGGTGAGAACTGGGCTATACTGGGCTTGTCTCAAAATACTGTGGATGGACGAAATCCTGCACCACCTAAGAAGCCCGGGAATGATGATTCCCCTGCAAATGCCAACAAGCACTGGTTTCCCATGGGTTCAATCTGGTGCAGGATTCCGTCCATCCACAGTAGGGTACTCCCAAAGCTTGTGGTTTCCTGTCGACCTCGCTTTGACGCAACCCCAACAAGGGCATCCAAAAGACATGCTTGCCTTCCCGGGGGGTGCTGGTAGGCTACTACAGCCACGTGGAGATCCGGAAGAACATCTTGAAGAAGCCCATCGAGGACGAGACCCATCCTGGCGAAGCTTCCATCTCACACCTTCCAATTGATCAATAAACAAGAGAGACGCAGAGAAAGACACATGGAGAAAGAGAGAGGGGGGGCTCTAGGAGTTTGGACCTCTTTCGAAGCATTCATGTTTTGGGCACTTCAAGCAAACCCCCCAAGAGGGATGCCTTGACAAGGGCCGCCTGGGCACGATCCCCTAATTGCTTGGTTGTCTTTTTGCGTGCCGCCAGCTTGAAGCGAGGACGATGAGGCCAACACCGGCTGGATGGTCAATTTCGGAGCGCGCCAGCTGATGATCAACGCCCACTGAGCAACGTGCGTTGGTTCGGGGGCGTTAGACCGGGCCTTTGTGCGCGAGACCGCGGGACATGGATGCGGTTGTAGGGTGAAATGTGGTGTCTATTTGAGGAGGTGCGTTGAGTGACACGTTTGCACAATGTAGTTTTAGCGCAAAGTAAGCGTTGGCAGCCGAAAGAAGATGCCTGAAGTCGCCACTTGTTACTTGTTACATGCTGCAACCCCTTAAAGGGTAGTTCTGAGGCAAGCGTCAGAATGTTCTATCATTTGGAAGGTTCTTGTGGGAGCCTGCGAGCCACAAAAACACCTAGAAACTCATGAGAACCCGCTGGACATCCAATCACCAATGCCGCGGATTCGCGACCTTGAACGTGTCCTGCGGAGCGATCTTCAAATCTTCCAGCCGGCGCATGCAGTCATGCAGCGACGCGGCGTGAGGAAGCTTCACGTGCACGGATCTTCCGGGTAAGACCCGGCCGATTTTCCAGCTCTTCATCTTCTGTTGATGGCAACTGATTGGAACACCTGCTAGGACGTGTAACATCTCAGATGTACGTGGCGCAATGTCTTTGGAGCTGTTGAGCCCAATGAACGGCGATAGCAAACTGTTAGAGTATTACATTTACTTAACCTCACATAGCATGCAATGACGCAGAATGTTGCATATGGGCCATCCTTGTGTTTTTTTCAGCCGGCAGGTTGGCTTGGATTCCATGTTTTTTGTTTTCCGAGTTGCTTCAAATTGGGCGAGATGTGGTTGACACATGTTTTGCCGTGCTCCGCAAACGGGAGACCGGCAGTCCTTGGCCCTGTTGGCCCTTGTCGTTTTTTAGAGCGCTGATTGGAACTTGGGACTTTCCTACTCCCTCTCCCCTATGAATAAACATCCACCCGCTAGTAAACTATTTGGTTGTGTAAAGCAAGACTTCGAAAAATCACCTCGCCCCCGAATTAGTTTCTTTTAGCCTATTGAGGGGTCACTTTCAGCACTTCCCTTCTGTGGATTGTAGTTCATGTGATTTATGTTCGCCTGTAGATTTGAGTTGACGAATCCCCAAAAAGTGCCTTGAGCAATTCCATGTTAATTCCTTACTCGCCTGATTACGATTTTGACGGATGCGACCCCACAAAACAGCACTAAGAATAACAAGGGCGACGGGGGGCCGGGATTCAATAATAGGGGGAAGCGATCAATCGACGTCCGGCAGCCTTAAAGTGCTTAGGAGGATGACTTGCAAGCAAACAACTTCGACTAGGCCAGTATGACCAACCAAACCACATCAAGTCACGCTTCATGGCAGCCACCTCACGGTCACATGCGGATACACATGTCGAGATCCAGTGCACAGTTTGGCCGTGCGGCAATTCTTCAGCGGCTTCTCGCGCAGCGAGCACCCAGCAGGGATTTCGGCTTTGATGGGCTGTCCGATGGATTGGCAAGGCTAAGGGTTTATGCTGGCTTGGGCATCCAAGAATCCTTCCATTTGCTTAAGAACTTGTTTTTCCCCTGCTGGTTTTAAAGGGAATCTATCACTATTTACTGGATTGTTTTTTTTCCCCCCTGGACTTAAGCAAATGGAAGAATCCAAGCCTGTTCCTTCAGTTTGTTCAGATACCTCTCTTTTTTGCCGAAGACGGCTCCTGGGCACGAGCTTCAGGGTTGGATCTCAAGACCTTGAGGTGCCTTTCGTGTTGACTGGGTTTCTGCCCAAAGCCAACCTTAGCTTTTGATTGCCTCTCTTTTGCCACCCATTTTTAGACATTTTTACCCCTTAGCCTTCTATTTCTGGGTCCTTTAGGCAAGTGAGCGCAACATGTTTTTGGCACAGACGCTCTGCATGACTTTGATGCTGTCAGTCAAGTTTGAGGACAGAAATGCATGATCTGATTTCGGCACGAATGAAATCTCTGCCTGCTTGCTGCCTAATCCTGCACTCCGGCAAAGCAAGGCTGGAAAAGTCGTGCGGCATGCGAGGGGGTGGGTCGGACCTCACTCCAGACAGATACCTCAAAGCTGGTTTCAGAGCTACTCTAACATGCTACCATTTTGCGCTGGCACCGTATTTTGGGATTGCTGGCCTGATAAGCGGAGGCTGTATGCATACCATTTCAGAAGGCCCCGTGATTCGAGTTAGATTTGTTTGGGCTTTCCGCGATTAACGCTTACCCTGTCTCAGAATCCAGGATTCTCACCTGGGTTGCGCAATTATGCTATCCGCCTGTGGCTGGAGGAACGCAAGTCATGATACGATTCATGGGCACCTTGCGGCTTGAGTCAATGGAAAGGCCTCTACCTTCGTGCGGCTTTTGTTGAGGTTGGCATGGAGTTGTTTTGAAGCCTTGAGGTTGTCCATTGCAGAAAGCATAGGATCGGGCCTTTGTCCTTTGCAGAAAGGAATAGAAAGGATGACATTGGAGCTCTCAACATCCAGGAATCCACAAGTGGCAGAACCCTGACATGAGCTGGCGGCAACGTGCTGGGATCTGCAATGGCGCGTTGCTCGTAGGAAGTATGTTGGAGAACTCGTCAAGGCAACAGGCAACACCAATGGAGTCGTCAGCACACTGGTGGAATCCCTTCTGCTTCTTTCAGAGGCTTTGAGGCCAAACCCCTTCGCAGCAGTTCGCCCACTCAGAAGATGCTGCCTTCTCAGGCCCTTTTTTCGCGGCTTTGGCGTTGACAAAATAATTTCGAAGCGCTTCGCAGAAGGGGTTTTGCCAAGAGCCCTCTAAGAGGAAACGTATTTTCAAGAAAGGCGCCGTACCGACGCCACCTCGCGGGATTCAAATCCTGCCCATTCCTGCCCCCGGCGCGGCAAACGTGCTGTTTGATTGGATTTACAGGTCCAAGAGTCCCAAATTAGGTTGCCCGGTGGCAGCATGTGGCATCTGCACAGCCAGCTGTTCGGCATAGTTGTGTGCACGTGTGAGGTGACAGGAAGAGTGCGGCTGTTTCGAGAGGAGTTTGTCAAGGCAATGTCGCCACAAAGGGCGAAGTTTGGCCTGTTGCTTTGCGCTTCACTGGGGCCAGTGTTGGGATCAAAATGGCTCACGCAGCCAGGCCAGCCCCTCTGAGGGCTTCCCCCGAATGAGTTCCCCTCTTGTTTTTGCTTGCTTCTCTGGGGTCCCCTTTGTTCTCCACTCACCAGGCTGAAAAAAACAAGTTGCTTTCCTGGGGCCCGACTTTTCCAGCCCTCTTGGAGATCGCAGGGCCGACGAACTGGAGGCGTGGCTTTCAACGAAGACGGCAGCCTGAGCTTTTTAGATCCTTTTGGTGTTTAGTCTTACCTCTTAAAAACACAACTTTTCAACTTGTTGGGGGTAACATGCGCTTGGAGTTTTAAGAGGTAAGTAGTGGGGATGTCCAGTTAACCAACTAAAGTTAAACATTTTTTGCGGGGGATCTGGCTAGCTTGCTTGTTTGTCCACAAGGCATTTGAGTTCCTTCTTTCGAGGCGTGCCAAAGAACCAAGACAAACACAGTGTCTCCCAAACATGCTCTTCGGAGTTGATCATAGCTTTACGTGGGATTTCTGGAGCGGGCTGAGAGCGAACAGCTGCTGGAGTGCAAGTTCTACCGCGAAGAGGGGTGATGCTGATCCAACAGGGGGTCCCTGCAGTTGTTGGTTTCCCTTTCTTCAGCTTTACATCCAGGCCGAAAGAGGTCCGCTTTGAGATTGCGGCGGGGTATGGCTAAGATCCCGTTTCATCAGAACTGACAAGGACCTGGGGGCTGATCCTTGGTGGCCCCTATCAAGCTCCGGGATCTGAATTGGACGCAGGGTGCAACATGAGCTAGCTTTCTAGCTTGTTGACGCCATGTGACGAACGTGTGCAGAGGTTGTAAAAGAGTGGTGTAGTCATCATGCGTCCCTGTCTCTGGTCCCTCGGAACAAGCTTTGAAGCGAGGAGTTTGAGTGTCGCGCATTCACGCACGTGGTAAACACATGAATGCCTGTTCAGAGAAGGTATCATCAAAATACATTTTTCCGGCTCGTAGGTGGAAGAACTGTGGTGAATTTTGCGCAAGGCATTGTGGATTCCTAGGTATGTGTCAAAGAACCAGGGGACCCCAGTGCCCTACTAGGAATCAGTTGGGGATCAACCTGGCTCAATCTCAGCTTGGCGTGGGCGCGTCAGGCCACTTCCAAGACCTTGTCGGCGGAGCTGCTGAGGGCCTCCCAAGAGCCTTCGACTCGGGCGCTGAGAGAGGGTTTGGGAGCTGAGCCTGGGGTGCCAGAGGCACCACATGTTTTTCTCAACTTGCTGGTGCGATAGGTAGGGAATGACCGACTTTTCGGCTTGTTGGGAAAATGAAGCGATTTTGGGGATGCCCTCTTTCAGGAACCCAAATCGGGATGGTTTTTCTTAGACATGGTCGTTCCATGCAACTCATTCCCTGCATCTCTCGAACCAACAAGATGAACCCGTAGTTGGGTTGATTAACCATTAGTTATGGCTGAATTGTGGGGGGTTCAAAGGGTGTGGTTACAGGAGAATCTACTGGAAATGGGCCCAAACACCTCTAAAATAAGCTGTTCTCCCAACCCCTTGAAGGGTCCAACATGAATTTGCAAGAGGACATATTTTATTTTTTTGGAGGGGGGAGTGCAAACTGAATTTCCTCTTTGGTGGAGTGGTTTCCATGGAAGGCCTGAGTTGCCTTCCGGCTGAGGCAGGAGGCTGCGGAGGAGGAGCAGGAGAAGCTGCGTGCGGTTCCAGCCTCAGCGGGAAGCGGAAGCGTGCAGGGGATTTGTGTGGCACGTGGGGGGGGGGGAGGGACGTCTTTCTAGGGTGAAAGTGATTCGAACAACGGTCGCTTGCTGTGCAGCTGTGCCAAGAATTGGGTGTTTTTGTTCTGACGGCCTTCTTCTCCGTGAGGCTCACACCCTCATCAGACCGGATAGGATTCCCTTGCCCCTGGAGACTTCACAGAAGATTACGGACAAACACATGTAGCCTCACTGAACGACACGCTTTGGACCTTTCACCGAGCTTTAGACCTCCGACTTTCCAGTGTCCATTCAGCGGCCGGATGCTCGTGGTTTCCCTTTTTGTGATGTCCCCGAGTTTCCAGTGTCCATTCAGCAGCCGGACGGTCGTGGTTTCCCTTCTTGTGATGTCCCACTTTAGGTTGCGCATTGGTATGAGTGAACATTCACCAGAATTCTGAGCAGCCCTTATACCCTGCAAGGCTATTCCCACAAATGAAAAGCAACAATAGGTTTTCTGGGTTCCATGTTCATTTGCAAGCCAGACAAGGTAGGGGACCTGCATTCGCAGCTCAGGAGCTGGAGGAGAGCGAGCAGATGCTGCAGCAAGCGCAGGCAGTGCTTCTTTGTGGCTGCCGCTTCTTCCTTGAGAGAATTTGTTTAGATGTTCTCAGGCATATGATATGTACATGTAAAGAGTATGTTTTGCATGTTTAGTTGTTTAGATGTATGAGGTGAGGCTGTATGAGAGCCACTTCGCACTGCACCAGCTGGTAGGCGGTTTATCCCAGAATCAAGGGGTTTGATATGTTTTGATCCACAAGTGCAGGACTTTGTCCATCCAGGGATGGGTATGATTGCTTCATGGTTGAATTTCCTCCAACATGCTTGCTGGAGATGACATCCCCATACGAATGATGTCCAGCGCAGGGTCCTAGTAACAAAAGATACCCATATGATGGGTGTGTTTTGTTTGCGGGAACCGTGTTTCGGCGTGTTTTGAAGAAAGTCGGCCCAACCTCTCTTTGCTCATTGTGGCTCGCAGGCACCCCTCTTTTGACCTTGGCAGCAGCCCCGGCAGCCGTGTTTCATGCACTTCACCCAGGCAGAAGTGGATGCGCTGACAGCCGAGCAGGAGGTCGCCCAAAAGGAGGTGCCCCGAGTCGAATGTGAGTTGCGAACCTTGACTCGTCGAGCGCCCAAGCCCTCCGTTGCGTTGAAATGATGTGTCGCGTCCTTCAAGCATTCCTGTTGGGCAAGGAGTAATGACTTCAGATTGAATGACAAATGTGCTCGCTTTGTGATGGTCAGGGCCTTGCATCGACTGCAAACCTCCCATATTGCAGGTCGAGCAGCTGACCCAGCATATCCAAGAGATCAAGAGCCGCGATACTGCAGGGAGGTGCGCAGTGCAAGCTGAATTTGCATGGCGCCAATAGAATCAATGTGTGTTTTTTTCAAGGCAGGCCGCCCCTCAATGGAATAAAGTGCCCACACAACTCCCTAATTACGTCTTGTTTGGAGGTTGGGGCCGCATGCGGGCAAAGCCAATCGGCAGGTTTCCCCCTGTAGGCTGTTCCCACGCGCCCTGAACGTCGCAGGATCAAAGAGCTACAGCAGAGCCTGGAGGCCGGCCACGTACAATGCGAGTTGGGATCAGGTAGAGAGTCCGGAGGTTCAGTGTCGCGCGTGGCCGTGAGGAGGGCAAGAGCTGATTGACTGATGGGATGGCACGGGGTTGCAGCATGAGGCTATGATCAGACTATTATATTCAGGTTAGAGTGCCGTTAGGCCGACTTCGACGGAGAACGTCTTGCAAAGTGAATACCGCAGCTTCATAGCTTTGGCTACTTCTAGAGTCCCACATGTGCGCTATTGTTCCATCCACGGAAAGCTGCTGCCATACTTCTCCTTTGGAAGGTGATGCAGTGTTGCAAGACTGCCTTGAGAACGTGAGGTGCTCGCAGTCCACCACAGGTGGTGCAGCTGCCTTGTCAATTAGGCGACGAGAAGGTGGCAAGGTTAATGCTTGAAACCTTGACTCCAAGAACTCTCGCATAGTGCACAACGCTCTTGAGCCTTAGAACTTGCACTTCCACGCAGCTCAGTGGCATCCGTGTTTCCTTTGAGCTGATTCCCTGCGCCGGTTGCTCCCTTTTTTGGAACCATACCCTGTGCTTTGGGCTTGCATGGATGATATCCATTCATGCCAACTGATTGGATAGCCGTTCAAACAAGACTCGTTTGCCCCCAGAAGGGGCGGACATCCAACAAAGAGGCTAAATCACTTGACTGCTATTGGGTTGGATCTTTAGACTCTAACTTTTTGGGAAATCAAGGGGTTTCCACGAAACCCACAAAAAGTTAAACTTTTTGCAGAGGTATCAACAGCAACTAAGAACAATAGCGGAAGCGCCGGACACACATCAATTCGTCAAACACCGCCCCTAACGCTACCTCCAGACTCCACATTCCAAACAACCTGAGGCGAACAGCCAGGAGTTGGATGCCACAAGAGGTGCGCTTGCACCCAGCCTTGCAGCTTGCGAGTCAGTTTGACCTTTCTCAAGTCTTGACCTTTGGTGTGTGCTGATACGGTTTCGGGGCCAAAGTGAGTGAGCGAATGCGCGTGCGAGTGGAAAGCTGAAAGCTTCGCAGTGTCGGTTGCTTGCCTTTTCCAGGTCCCTCTCCTTCAACCGGATCGAATGTGGATCTTTCAACAAGCAACTTGACTTTATCGATTTGGCTCAGGTTTGCCATGAACTCGAAGGACAGTTGTTTAAGCACGGATGCTTGGGTACAAGTGAGCTCCTATCTTTGGTTTAGGGCCAGTGCCCAGCGCAGGGCGCGTCACCACCAAAGCGTTGGAGCTTGAAGCGTGCGGCACCTGGACGATGGGACTGTAGGGGGGGGGGCTTGGGATGCGTGGCGTTACGACCCTGCCACTTTCAAATCAGGACCCTCAAACGCGCACAGAGGCATAGAGGACGCACAGAGGCATAGAGGACGCACATTACGACCCTTCAAGGCGCCATTACGACCCAAACGTGCATGGAGAGCAGATTGCGAGTTAGAACCCTCAAAGTGCATGAAGGCGCAGATTACGACCCTTTGGCTGTATATTTGGCTGTAATTTCCCAAAACACCACAAGAAAAGAGATAGCTGCATGTGAAGTGGGCCCAACTCACACAGCGCACCTCTAGCAGCAAAGAATGGGATGCCGGAGCCTTATCTCACTATGCCAACTTGGGTGAATGTACAAATTGGTCTGGTATGGTGCGCCGCTCTGCTTTACAATCGGCCAATCTGTGGCGGACTTGCACAGGGCTCAGGGGGTTGTTTTGTGTTTGATATCACAGATGGCACGAGTCCAGGGGTCGAGTGGATTTCAGAGGGCTGCAGAAGGCTTTGGTTTTAGACCCTGAGCCAATAGTCAAAAGCCTGGTAATTGGAGCGTAAAAAGCGAGAAGTTCCAAGCAGCATAAATGGGCGGGCGCCAAGGCCGCTCCTTTATTTCTGTTCTGGACATGGGTAGCGCGTCATGCGTGTTGGGTTTGGGCGGGGGCTTGCATAGCGAAGACCGCTCCGCGCGTTTGTGCCAACCTTGGCATCAGAATGAACTGACCCAGGAGACCCGTTTATGCACCCCACAGTCGCTGAAACATGTCGTACTCTCATCTTAAGGCTCATTGATTGCTATTGGAGCGCTTAAATCAGAAAACACCCATGGTTGACGGAGCCTTGGTGGTGGACTGGGCTGCTCTGAGACACGGTTGCCCCACTTGCTTCAAATTGCACGTGTATATATATATACACATATATGATGCGAGAGCTACTTCTTGTGCGGAAGGCAGCACTTGTTCTCTGCCAAACCAAAACCAACATGACCTGTGGCCAGGTTTCAGTATGGATTGTTTTGCCACTATGCTGTGCGGGAGGTGTAGAATGCACCTGAATCTCACCTGACAATCAAAAGCGACAGCCAGGAAGTCATAGTCCGTAATCATCATGATGCCCATCAACAGCGGCCATTGGCTGAAACAGATCAAAGCGGCTCGAGGGATTTTAGGCTCTGGTATGCGCAGGTTAGCCATGTAGGGAGGCAACTTCTAGCCCAAGGACACAACTCTGTGCAGCAACCCTTTGAAACTTTGTGACCGCAAAGCACCGGTTGCACCTTGAGCCAGGCAGAAGGTTCCTCAGCTTCTTTAGCTGTTTAGGTTTTATCCATTTGATGGTTGCAACACCCCCCTACCAAACAGGAGTTCCTTAGGGTGTTCCAAAATTTATTGCCTTCATGAGCTGGTCGCTGGTGGGCCGAGCTGCGCTGGAGCAGCGCCTTGGCTGGTCTACGGGCAATGGGTGGCACAGTATCCCAAGGCGAGAGAAGTCTCAAGCCGCGGCAGAGAACACTTTGCGTGCAGACTCTCGCCCAGTTTCAACTTTCAACAAGTTTCAGTGTGACGTGGCTACTGTAGTCCTCGCCAGTTTGGGGGCGAAGCCATCCTGGCACAAATTTCCAGGCATGCCCTCTTGAGGCCGATGCCAAGAGACAGAATCGCTATTTATTTGATGGCCTCACCTTGTCATTTTGAACGCGCCTCACCTTGAAAACACCCTTTTCGGCACTCCTAAAAGGTGGCGGAGTCACCAGGGCCCAAAAGCGCTGTACTTTTCACGAGCCATAGTTCCTCAGGCTTCCCGGCCCCCATCTGCGACTGGACGGCGCTCAGCGCCTGGAGATTCGGGTGGATGGCTGCGATTCTCCGCCGCATGGCAAGCAAGCGTCAGCCGAGGGGGGCAGTTTGTGTGCGGCTTCCTGCTGTATGCACTGCAGCAAAACGACAGACTTCAAAGTCCCTGTCAAAGCATATCAGTGTGTTTCTGTTGAAGGTTATGTTTGATGCATTGGATGTACTTGGCAAGAGGCTTTGCAGTGATTCTTTTGGAGGCTCTTGAAGAGCCAGGTTTCGGAGCAACTTGTCATCCTGGAAGACTTCAAAGCTTGGTAGATAGTACTGCCATGCTTGTCGCACTTGCAGCTTTGGCAACATGGGCATGTACCACACCTAGGCTGCCGCTCTCCGCAGCTCGGCTTGGATGGTAGCTGGAAGTTGGTGTTGCACGAGTTTCTTGGGCGCTGGCCTGAAACTGGCCAGCCGCTCCTTGGCCATCTTGAAGATGTCAAGGCTGTCAGGATCAATATGCTTGCTGGCAAATTGGCACTAGAGTTGGGCCAAACTGGGTGGAATCCTGGGAGATCACAGGGAGCACCTGGCAGCTCCAGGTGCTCTTAGAGGTCACCCCTTCGCAGTCAGGATGGGTCACTCCAATCGCCTCTTCCGAGCCTTTCGGCCCGTGCCGGTCGGTCGACCCGCGCCACTCGAGGGACTCCCCTGGCTGCTGCAGCCCTGCGACCCGGTCCGGAGGTTGCTCTCAGAGCACCCCGCCTGGCGTGTGCTGATTCGCGCCACGGACGCCGCAGGCGCGAGCAGGGCGAGGGGGAGTTTGTTTTGTGCCTTGGTCTGTTTCGTTTCGTTTCGTTTCGTTTGTGTTGTTGATTTCTTTTTACGTTGTCCGCGTTTTGTTCGTGTTCTTTTCATTTTTTTTGGGGGGGGGGTTGTGTCAAACTGGCTGCTTGCAGGGAACACGGGGCAAACGCCCAGCAATGATTGCTTTCCTGGTCTGCGTTTGCACCTTCTGAATTTGGCATGTCGCGGAATGGGGCCCACCTGCACCCAGCTAGTTTCAATGAGCTTTGAAAGGAGCCACGCCCCACGTGCTTATCTGGCTGGCTGGAACCAAACAGCATGCCCAACATCTACTGAGATAAGGGGGGTGGCTCGCTGCGTTTCAAGGCCAATGCATAGGGATTCAGCAATCTTTTGTTTAGCAATGCAGCGTTTGGACCTTTGCTTGCCTCATGTAAGGTGGTGAAAGGGTGAAATCCCTCAAAAGCGTCAAGTGAGAAAGGCTGCATGCGGCTGAGGGCACGTGGTGTCTCTACATCTCGGGCCAGAGGGCGCAGAGCTGTCAGGCCGGTGCGGTTGTGAGCGGACTGAGAACTGCAAGGAAATATCAGGTGTAGAGCAATTCGAACAGGGCCGGTGCTTTAACACCAACATAAGTAGAGATAAGATGGTCATATAGTTGTGTAATTGTTTGGCCCTTTTGTACTAGTCACAAATAGCAACTGCATGAGGCATTCAAGCAGGCGAGCGGGAGACCGTATGCCATGGTTAAAAGATCAGGTCGTTTGCTTGGGGTTAGCGGGGATGGATGGTCCCCAACCTCTCAGTAGGAGCTTTCAACAGCCAACGTAAAGGCTCCTATTGACAAGTCTATTTCCATGACCAGAATACGAAGTTTTGACCGCGTGACAGGCGTGTGGCTTTGTTCTGCATTTGGGTTTGCAAGGAATTTGTCCCGTTGCTGTGGCAGCGATCCTGGAGGAACCTTGGCTTGCAATGAGCCAGAACAACAAACACGACTTGCAAACTTGCCTCAGTGTTCGGCCCTCAGCATTTCAGGAAAAAGCCCCTCTTGTAGCAGGTGCCATCTCTTGCCCTGGATGTTGACCCCATATTAATCAGACCCAGTTTGTTGATAGGGGGGTGTCCCTGGTAGCCCCTCTTGTTGCAGGTGCCATCTCTTGCCCTGGATGTTGGCCCCATATCAATCAAACCCAGTTTGTTGATAGGGGGGTGTCCCTGGTAGCCGGTGCCATCTCTTGCCCTGGATGTTGACCCCATATCAATCAAACCCAGTTTGTTGATAGGGGGGTGTCCCTGGTAGCCCCTCTTGTAGCAGGTGCCATCTCTTGCCCTGGATGTTGACATAGCAATCAAACCCAGCTTATTGATAGGGGTGTCCAATGTATAAATAGGGGAGTCTCCCTGGTTTTAGCGGGGATTCACTGGGCTTGATGGCGAGGCATCGGGGCAGCCAAGGCCTCTACAGTGGCAGCGCCCTGGCTGCGTGGCCGCGGCCAGCTGCCGGGGGCAGAGATGGTCCGCCACTGCCGCAACCTGCGGGGCGGCGGCTTGCAGGCGGAAGACGGCGGGCTGGTCGTCGCTTTCCGGTTTTCAGGGATGGTCGTATAGAGGGGGCAGAATCTCGGACATGTGTCGGCACCAGCGGATGTTGCCGCTTGTGTTGGAGTTGTGTGGTGTCCATGCGGTGTTTCATCAACCAGCCAGCCGAAAAAAAGGCAACAACCAGCTTCTACGCAAGGGAATGCTGATCGGTACGGGTGCGCTTATTTTTGCGTTCCGTTTCTTGGGGATTCTCAAAGGGGAGCTCCCTGGGGACTTTCTTCTTTCAGGCAAGACTATCAGATGTGCTATGTGGATTAGCTAGTTTCCAGGGAACGCTTTGCAATGCTGCAGCAAGTCAGGGCCAGTTGAGTACCTCCTGCCCACGCAGGAGGTGACAGATGCCGACTTGAGCTTCGGCCGCTTCCATGATGGCTGGTGGGAGGCCTTCTCAGCGCGTCCAGCTGTCCACCACACTATGTGTCCTAGTTGCTCTCACCGACCCATTTGGCGTGGCCGGCAGTCTTGGCTTGAGCCAATGCGTGGCACATCAAAGCGGCCATGCTATGAAAGGGCTTGGGGGGTGTTTCGCGCGCAAGCCTGGCCTCGGCTGTTGCGCAAACTGGGCCTTTTGCAGCTGGCAGCCCCCCACTCTCGCAGGTAGTTCTGGAAGACCCGCGTCCTGGCTCAGATGAGGCGCTTTTTGTGGAGGACGCAGATCCCGCGTCACAAGAGGCACTGCGGGAACCTGGTAGGTGTAGCCCTAGCGCCCGTACTCCAGAGGGATTGCCGTGTCCCTTGGTGTTGAGGGTCAAATCTGCAGCCCACAGGCAGGTGGTAAAT